TGTTGGAAAACCTTGTGAAATGTTGGGAAACCTTGTGAAATGTTGTGTAATGTCGGAAACCTTGTGAAATGTTGGGGAACTTGTGAAATGTTTGAAAACCTTGTGAAATGTTGTGTATGGTGTGTAATGTCGTGTATGTTTTCAGGCCTGAATAATACTAATATTCGATGCTGCTGATTCTGGTTAGTAGTGGACATGATTTAGGAGAGGTTTTGATGTGCAATTTCACTGAAGTAATTATGCGTTACGATGACGCCGATTATACGCCGATTGCTTCGTAATGCGCGTGCGCATCAAATACAGTAAATAATATACAGGTATCGTGCATCTAATTTGAGGTTGATCAATAGAGTTTCATTAAAAACTTTTGAGATTGCCGATACTTTGGAATAGATTGCTTATTGCTATTCTCGTGGCGAACATCCGGGCATTTGCACCGTCTGGCAACCACAACCAGCGAAAACAATGGCCGAAAACTCTCAGAAAAAATGTTCCTTGGGCTAGTTGTTAAAACAACATAAACTCAACTTTGAAGTAATCCTGAACAACCAAATTTATATATGTTATCCACGTAGGGCCAATCTTGTTACACTATTCAGGGTAGTCTCAACAACCATCCCAAAGTACCGTTTTCTGTTGCCAGTCGGTGAAAATGCCCGGATGTCCGCCCCCCCGAATAGTGGTGCGCGTCTTAGCAACGTAGAACGTTCTGTGACGTAGCTCCATTTTTACAATGCAAGGTCCTATGCGGAAACAACAGTGCCAAGGGTCACAGTTTTAAGCTTAAACGTTTTATTACTTTACGCAGATAGCGAAGTTAATACAAGGGACTCTGTCGGAAAAAAGTAAAACATGATTTGTTCAAATTTGTTTAGTATGTATTTCCCATTTTTGTTTAGAAACTCGGGATAATGTGTCGGGAATAGTATTTTGAAGAAAAAAATAGAAGGGAAAGGAACCCACTTTCAGTAGTTTGTCCTATGCTAATACATGGGTGTTAGAACGTGTTCTTGTTTAACTTTACTAATTTTAAATTGAAAAACTACCAACAAAAATCTACAAAAAAACCCATTAACAAAAACAGACGAGAAAGAATGAAGGCTACAAACGCGATGTAATACTACTTAGTAACAAAACAAATATCTATTATTGTCTAATAGTTAAAAATCCTAAAACACATCCATTAATATCGTATCTGTGAGCTGTATCAGAAGAATTCCAAGTTGATGTTTAAATGTATCGGCCAAGTCGGGCTTGGGTGGAAATACTTCTACTGTGCATTGTCATTACACATTTATTTTGAGACGATAAGTCACTAAGAGTTGGGAATGCAATTTATCGTTTCTTCAAATAATAGTTTCCTTCGTGTTCTTTCATGAAAACTCCCGTGCGTCCACTTTGAACCCACCCACGTGAAACTCCACTGAACATCTCAATTATGTCCTTCCGCGGTACGTTTCTTAATTATATTTTGCAATGTTAACTGTTCTGCTTGCAAAAAATGAAATAACCAATAATGTAGGGAAATGTCTATCGTTATCAAAGCAGTCCGTTATAATATTCCAAATTAATTGGGTTGCGATAAATCATGTCAGGAAATATATGGTTCAGTAGTTATGCTCTGATGATATATATTTATTACCGGTATGTATATATCAATTCAAATCCATCCTAAGATGGTTAGAGACCCCTAGGACGATTGTCTCAATGTCTGGAACTGTGTGCTTCGTGGACAAGTGAATATGGGTAAATCAACGATGAAGCCACATTTCAAGTTTGTCGATCATCCGATAATGGACTTTAAGTCGGTATCTAATCAATCAACTTTGAGAATCACGTGCCACTGTTTCCTATGTTATATTTAATCAGATTACAACAAAAAGGCACTTAGTCTCAGCCTAGAAGGGCCTTATCGCCATGGTAACGTGAAATTCCGACCCATTTGCTATGTTTTTAATCAGGTAAAGATCTGGATTTTAACGAATTTAGAGATTAAGCTTACATGTCTTTGTACTTTTCCTCGAAATCGGTTTCGTTATACCTCTGTCTGAGATTAAACGAAACTCACGTAAATATATGTGGGACTTACTGAACCTGTATTGTTATATATCAGCTATCCTGGCATACACCTATGGCATAAACTTGCGGTTGTAGCATCATTAATACCGCCATATTTTGTATTTATTTAGTGATGTCACGTTTAATTGTGGTATATTAAGCTGCTTTTAAATGCTGTATATTATACGCGCGCATAATATACCTTACATGTAACCCGCGCCCCCTAGTGACGGAGCGCTTCTGCTTCTGTTCGTCATCTTGAGTACGACTACGGATCGAAACAATATCGAGGCTTTGAACGGCCTACGTGTCACCCATTTACGTCATAGAATTCTTCGTCGCTAGAGGGCGCTGATTACAAAAGAGATGTATTCCACTAGCTATTCACCTATCAAGTATTATTTGCATGAAAATACGAGTATGCGGAGAAGCGGATATAAACGAGAATATATATTGTTTGTCACCGCATGCATGAAACACTTCACGAACTCAGTATTTTGAATACTACTCGATCGCAACTGACTGACTGACTGACTGACTGACTGACTGGGTGAGTGAATGAGTGAATCACCGTAATTGCTTGTACAAATGCCCTTCATTATATGAATCCCCGCTCTAAACGAGATTTATGTTGTTCATTTCAAAACCCCTGTATGTTTTCCTGAGACTTTGTTAAACTGCTCTTTGATATTCTGAATGGGTGTATGCACCATGCCAATATTAAAATTAAAATGGCCGTTAAAGTTAAAGTAGAATTTAACGATACCGAGAAATTGAAAGTCATGTTTTGTTTGCATGGAAACAAGTTCGGTATCCTCCCATTTGTATTTACTCTTTTTTTATTTTGTCACTCAGCAAACTATTTTATGTATTCTACTTTCGCAACTCAGAGTGGTCATACTCATGCAAAAATACCAAGAATTACAATAATAGCGGCCTTAGTTATGGTTCCAAACGATTTTGTTCTGTTTTGAAACTTTTGTTATAATTGGTTTCTATGACTATGATAAGGACTTTTTATTATGTCTCAAATTCGTGCGTGATGACAGTGTAAACATTGCCTATAGTATCACTCATAAGGTATTGAATAGTTTTAAAATCCGTTTTTTCGAAACTGATGATTAATTTAATAACCCACAGTCTGTTTTGTGGAAATAATTATGCAAAAAACATTCATAAAAACTAACGCGTCCACTTCTTTGACAGGTGAATCAAGTCCTTCTCACTCACCGCCTTACATCACATCGTCAGCGCCCTCATCGCCAACGTACACTTACAGAACGCCCCATTATGGAACGCATCCGGAACACCATGGCAGCAGAAGTCGGCTATATTCCGCCGGTACCAATAAAGAACAATCCGCTCCAAGAAATCCTCCCCCATCAATGGGTGCAAAAAGTTCAAGTTCAGGAAGTCTGTTAAAAGATCTGGAAAGACTACGACAGGTAATTGTAATGATCGAACCCGGTTACCGGGGATACCAAAAAAGTATGCACGAAGACAGTACAACGGAGTATGCGACCTTCCTTCGTATTTCCTAATATGTTAGGATGAAAATACGCCGCAAAAGTACAACACGCTGTAACTTATGACGTTACGGTGACAGATATATGATAATATTATATTTCACAAAAATATAATTAATTGTCAATTTGGCCTCTTTAGCGTGATCGCGCTCAATTGACAATTAATTATTTGTTTTTGTAAGACAAAAAAGAAATCCAGACCTCTATATATATGTGAATGAGCGAAATTAAGACTCTGTGAGACCACAAAACGTACCTTATTAGAGGTTTACTACATTATTTGGATTAAAATAACGTTACAGGGTCACAAATGACTCATTGTGGTCAAGTATTTCATCCAGGTATGCAATTTGTACCTTTACCCCCCAATAAACTTTTACTTATTTGAGAGGGCGTTGGTCGTCACTCAACGCGTGTCCATACATTATTTATACATATGTATTTACTGTAATGTATTTACATGTGTTGTATACGTTGCTAGGCAATCAAGTTATATCAGCGCATTGCGACAACTTTTTAAGTAAAACTAAAGCAAGTCTTCAGTATTTGCAAACAATACACTTGTTTAGGTGCATAAATTGCTGAGTCAAGGATTCCCTGCGAACCTGTTTCTGGTCAAGAAAATAGTGCTCTGCCAATGTCACAAGTTGTTCATAGCTTGAGCAGGTGTCGATTTCATTATATGTGTATACTTTTATTATATACTAGTATTGTTTTCACCTGCATGTTGTAATCACTGTATATGGGACGCTCACGACAATCTCATTTGCACATAGTGTTTTAGATTGGAATTCCACCTATTAATTATATAGTGGATTTAATACAGTTATATATCTAGATGTAGGTTACTTACTATTGATTTAATGATTTGTATTGAATTTTTGCGTCTGACAATTCGATATGCTTAAAGCGGGGGAGTCGTCACCTGCGCATGCATCAGATGGCCGTAGCGTGTTATTGTTTACAAACAGGCGTCTACCCATGAGCCTTTGCGATTTAGCGTGTATTGTTATCGTCGCTTGAGACTCAATTCCCATGCGTGCTCAGGTGACGACCCTCCCGCTTTAAGCTACATTTTAAACACAATGACAGCGATGCTTAACGAGTTCGTTGAACACCCTGCCCACTTAGTAAAATAATTTACGTATGGTTGTTGGGTAAATTGGTCCGATGGAACAGAGTTGAGACATTCGGTACACTATCAGTGACTCTGCTTTTTAGGATGATGTCTATGATGACCCTGGTCACATAAGTAAAAGAAAATAATTAATTATGCCAGCATTGCTAACCACGCGCTCGTGGTTGTTCATTATACTAGTATGCTCAATGAACACTTCAAATAGAAATACAGTGTGGTGGGCAAACAAGGTTGGTGTTATTTTATTAGGGTGTCGAACACTGACAGAGAGGGAGATGGGGTATTGCTGTTTATGTGTATATAACAAATATTTCAGCCCGGAAAAAATATCATTCATTCATTCATTCATTCATTCATTCATTCATTCATTCATTGAAGTGAAATTGACGAAAACGTTTCTAAACGGCGCAATTTTTATTTGTACTACACTATTTTTACCTTCCAGATGAGAATTCGATTTCTTCCCGGGATATACCGCGCCATGGCGTTCGTAACATCAACCCCGAAACACTCTACGTGCATGCGCTCTCCGCCGCTGACGAGCCGAGGGCGCTGACAACACATTCAATGTGGGTGGGTGGCAAATCATACACTGGCCTACACTGACGATCACCGAACTACACACTCACACTAGTATTTTTATCTCTCGTTAGGCTCAGCGGGAACGAGGTGAAAAACTGGGTCGAACAGTAGACCAGACAGAAGTCATGGCAGACAGGGCGTCTGTTTTTTCCAGAACAACCAAGGCTCTTGAAAAGAAGCACAGAGACAAGGCCAAGTCATGGTGGCCATTTTGATGACAAATTTATTCTACTCTTCGAATCTTCCTCTCTTTAGACCAGTCTGCCTATATTACAATGTATGTACCTTATATTGTCGGAAGAAACCCGAAAACATTTTTCTCTTGCGAGTTTTGGATATTCTTTCTCTCTCAAGGAGTGGGTTATTTTACTTATTTATATACATAAGTGTGAACTGGAGATATGTATTTACCAAACAAACAAACACGCACACACACATATATGTACATACAGGGCAAATATTGCATGCGACATCATGTAGTGACCGGTGTAATTGCAACCTACCGGTGTTAAAAGAATGACAGTCCAATGGAACGTCTTCGTCTTAAGTGAAGTAATATTCTTGTAAAGGTAGTGTTTTCAGAATAGTTTTCTCTTCGGTTCGTGAACAATTTCCGCGAAAGCTGCCAGGTTTTGCAGCGACATCTTCCAGACTCATAGCGAGTCGCATAATCTATTGTTGCTTGTTCGATGCATGGAAATGTGTTGATTTAAATGTCTCGCCTTCGCCTTGGCCTGCTTGAATGTGTCGCTTTGCTAACAGCTGTATACAATTATGTTGAGACTTCTCATCATGGACCACCTCTCATCGAATAAGTGCATTACAGAAGCTTTCAATTTAATGTATAAAGAGATATATTAAACTACTTAATTTAATGGATCCACTATATCGTGTGTCAATCTGTACCCTCCCCGAAAATTCCGTCCACAAACTACTATTATGGAACGAAGTAATATGTGTATGGAATACTTGATCCGAGAGAAGGGTGTATAATAGCAGTCGCCTTAGCAGTAGACGGTACGTTCGAACAATCGATAGATGCTGTACGATGTAAGACATATATTCTACCAAAGTATCACACAGGTTTTTAGGAGTGGTATGCTCAACAATTTTGCCAGTAACTTTTATTTTTCGTTAAAAGATTGCAGTTGTGTGTTTTACGGTTTAACATTCACAGTGTTAATGCAATCACATGGTGTTTATCCGGGTACTCGTGGAATGTGGCCTATAGAATGATTGACACGCAGATCGCCGCAAAACAACCGAATTGCGCCACAATGCTATAGAATATGATATCATTCAATAATCTATCGTAGGTTTAAACCGTGTCACGCACTTGTTATCATGCCTGGTAAATCTCGAAATCAACGTATACAGCTGCATAGCGTCATGCATTGACAAACAAGTGTTCCTATTATCGTGATGATATGCACATCAATTCAAAGTAAATATTTAGTTTCTGCAATGAATAACGAGTGAATTTCCTGACAACAGTACCCTCACTTATTATCGGTGGAGTGACACGATGCCTGAACGCTATTAAACAAGATGCCAAATATATCATTTTTTTCCCGAAGTTGCTTAACCCATTTATTGAACATTAATTTGATAAATGTCTAAAATGTCTGCTCACATGTATTATTTATTTTCGTGTCTGCTGGATATACTCATAAAATTGTTCTCACCATTCTGTTTCACACAATTCGTGACTTCGTTCACAGTGTGACGTTTTTTGAAAACGTAACATAGTGATTCAATAAACCAATGGAAACCTCTATGATTCTGAATATTTATAAAGATGAAGGGAATGCCTTAGATGCGCTGAGAATATTTACAAAGAACTCCACATACACACATTTACCATTGAGGTCTTTATTCCTGGTCACAGAGTAAGAGCGAATTACAATTGATGAGCAAGACAGGTATATTACATTTTTTTTAGAACAACACAGTCGGCGCCTGTCAATCGGCGACTGTCTGCCTGTGTCGACACTCGATCGCGGCGTAGACACTGGATTGGAACGTCGCTGCACGAATGTGAACTAGTATTGTGAACAATGAGCTCGGCGGAGGATTTTTTTTCAAGACAATAATCCAAACGTGATTAAAACGACGGTTAGAAGGGGTTCAAATAAAACTAGGTGTCTCCCCAGGGCCTAATTTATTTTACGAGTGTCCGTTGCAACGTGACTCTGTTTAATCTATCGTGGTGGAATAATGCAGTGTTATACTTGCTACTAGGAATTACACACAACCCACAGTTCAATAATATAATATACCACCACCTAGACATGGTAAAGTGGTTAACACGTTCGCCCCAGCCGACTGTTTACTCATCAATATAAAACAGAGTACGTCTAGCCGCAGCATTAGTTTGGGGAATGGCCTATTGGATGGAGACGTTTAAAATGTCTGTCTCAAGCGTTGTGCATGTCGCCAGTACACGTTAAAGATCATGATGGAGATTTCCAATATTCAATAAGTCATTTTCTTGACCTTCAGTTTCTAGACGAGTTTTTACTGATTAACGTGTTTCTAGGCCACAGGTCCATGTGACTATAACATATAATAATATACAACACAGATACATAACTAATTACATGATATCTATGCGAGGGCTTCCTCTCTTATTTGTTTAGTCTTGTATATATATTTTGCAAGGGATATATGCACTGTTACCGAGTTGGATGTCATTATTTTTTTATATGTATTTTTTAATTTGTCACGAGAAGTGATTTGCCAAAAATATTTTGTTCTTAGCGTGAGATATAAAGGGCACCCGGGAACGAAATTGCATTTGCATTTCGATTGTGTTTAACGGGCAAAACGCACATATTTCTAGACGAGTATATGTTTACAATACAAAACATTACAACAAAAAAACTTTCCTGTTTCATTGTACTGTGTGTACTGAATACCGACCGCACTGATAGCGACTTCAATACAAAATCATAGCTTGAAAGAACTTTACATTTCGAATCCGTAGACTGCCCTCAACTGCAAGATAAAACGATAATTATACTTCTCTCAATGCTCCACAGTACAAATGACAATAGGATAAACAACTTGTTACTACTAATTATTGTACAACTTATTGTCGAGAAAACTAATTTGTATTCACAATTTGTTTTGGAAGCAGGCACTTCAAAGTAATACACAAGGCATTTCACTAATAATTTTCCAGGATACTTGATAACATGCAACTTGCAAGATGTCTTCTGTATAAGTCGTGCATAAGGAATACATCTTAATTAAGAACCGTCAAAAGTTTTTTTTCCAGATACACTGTCTTTTTAAACCGATTTCATTAGAGAACAGTGTCCGATATATAGTCAATGTGTCAGTCATTGCAAAACAAAATGAATGTCAGGTTTTGTCCATACAGCAAGAAATTGAAGATAAAGCACAAATCATAATTTATGTTTGAAATATCGCATCAGTTCATCAAAATCACGTTTAGACTTAAATACTGATCTTCAATCTCATCTTCTTATCTTTTCTTATTGCCAAAGTGCATTAGTAATATATAAATACAAAAATACGACTAAAATAAATACAGCTTATGCATTTCAATACAGAAGAAAATATAAATGTAAAATGTAAATGATGGTTTTTGTATTCACCCCGCGTAGATAAACACGTTTGAATAAATCCGTCAACAACTCACAGCGATGTTAATAGTGGATTGAGGTCCAGGCGAGTCTTACATTACTTGCAAAGTGCCGATTATTAAAAATGTACAGGTGTCACGTAGGCATTGAAATACATCCAATGTATATCAACATAAGCCATGCCTGTTTTTGAAGAAAAACAAAACAAAACCCGCAATGGACGTCGACTGGAATGGAAATTTAGGAATATCCAATCGATATCCCAACAAGACATCATTGACATTATCTGTTGTCAATAAATAGCAAGTATACTTAAACATATTGAATTGACATATTTCGAATAAAAGTGAGCACAGCTTGCGCCAAATATTAGCTATAGTTAAAGACGCGCTGTAACATTGAGAACTGTTAGTTAGTGTTGGAAACCCTGTTACAGAGTTGAAATATCAACTGTTTTAACAAACCACAGATGTGACATTTTCTGTTTTTCAATTTCTGGGATAGTTACCCAAATAAAAAAATCTAAGCTTCGCGCACATACTATCTCAAAAATTACTGTTTTAGTTAGGCCACACTGACTTAATTTTATGGATGACATCCTCTGAAGACCCCAAAACTAATGCGAGAGGGCGAAAAAAAAAAATCCTGCCAAAAAAAAAAAAAATGTTGCTAAAACCACAGGACTACGGAACTATTATTACGAATTGAACCACGGTATATCAAAAAAACAACAAGTCTTTATTTGTAGGAGGCACATGTTGATGTAAACATCTCGTACTGTATTACTGTCACAGGTATCATCACCTTTGATTTTGAAAAGGCAAGACGATAAGGCAGATGTTAGCTTTGCCAAAGGCATACACATCAACTCAATAATAAAGAAAAACTTACTGTGTTGTATTGAAAAAAAAATAATTAAAAATGAACAATAAGTTTGTCAACAGAAACCTGGAAATTAACTTCTTTGACATTCAAACTACAGCTTTGAAAGTGACACTTCAGATAGACTAAGTGTAGACACAAATGCTCTAGAACTACTTCAACTATGTAACAAATTATAAGAGGCTCGATATTGTAAAAAAACACCAACAGAGAGTCAACAACAATTTGAATGCAGAAATTTATGTACATGTATCTTGATGAAAATTTGTCATATGATCAAAATATTACTGACTGTGTGTGCAAGTAAATTATCCTAATCAGAAAATGAAAAAAAAATAAGAAGAAATTTTTCTTCACCCCAGTTTTGTCGACTTCAATGCAGACAAAGCAACCGAACTGACTTGTCGTCTAACCGACTTTTAGGCCACCATACACCTCCATTCCTCCCCCATTTCTCTCATCGTACAGCTGTGTAAACGTCACATCTCCCAGGCCAACGTCTATTGCAGTCCACAACAATCCCTCCCTTATACCTCTGAACTTTTATGCTCACGTATTTTGGTGGTGTGGTCGCCATGTTGGATCATTTACGTAACGCGCATCTAACTGTGCGAAGTTTGGTTTTGAGGTAGTCCAAAACGAGTTTTACGACAAGTCGGCGCTTTGCGACAATATGAGTCGGCAAGTTCCGGACAGAAAACCGTTCTGTGGAGACTCGTCGTCGGAGATTTTTTTTTTTGAGAACAGGCGAAAACTAATGCGCGCGCGGATGTCATCCATAAAATTAAGTCGGTGTGACCTTAGTGTACTTTATATACAAAACGTAACATAGAATATCCAATCAAAGTCATTCCGACTATGTACACTGTATTATTTATTTGCTGAATTCATTTGTAATAATGATGTACACACGATAAATCGTTACTAAATAGATATGCCATCCAAAAAACCAGGAATGGCTACCCTGTAACTATCTTAGATCAGTGTGCCTTGTAATGTTATTTCTAAATATACATTTTCAAGATTAATCAATGCATGTTTAACAGAACACAGAACTTTGATCTTAATGTAAACAGAATGTTGATAAGTGACTTGAATTAGGTCTGTAATTGCATGTCCTATTAAGAATGGAGACAACATTCAAATATTCTACCAAAACAGGTAATTCACTATGTGATAATACGAAATAGCGTTTATATATATATTTCTGCCACTCAAGTGTTGCCCTTGTTTTGCAACCACCTGATATCACCTGATGTATGTGAATGCGCCGAGAATAATTATTTCATCACATGTAGCACATTAGTTTCTGCACCATTATATCAATTGTCCTATGAACGTGTGTACATGTACTTAATCCTATGTATACTGTTATATGTCCATCGTACTTTGTTGAAATCACTATCAAAATTTTGAATTTAAATTAATGGATGGGTATGCCAGTGTTTATTTCTTTGCCGTGCCGAGTAACAAATTATGTACTGTTATGTTGTTAAAAACTATTGTATTACTTATATTTTCACGTGTTGTTTGAGATGTCGTGACAGACCAAAACTCTTCTTTTGCACTGCTGACACTGAAATAGTATAATAACATCAATATGTGTTGCTGTGTATTGTTTCAGAGGACATGGCATTATTTATCATGAGTGTTCGCGTTCCAGATGACTTGGCCGAATATAAATCTGGTAACATTGTTCACATGTATATTTGCATGGTTTAATACCAGCAGGGTTATCATATGTTGTTATCATATGCCTTGACTGAAAAAAAAACTCGTCCTATATAGTTGCCACTGATATGGTTTACCACCAATATGTGTTACTATATGTTTTTTAGATTACCTAATCGTCTAAAACTTATCTTATGTCGATGTCAGTTGAGTGGTTCATCGGTATTATGTCTGTATGTTGTTCCAGATAACGCAAAAATGAAAAACTTTTCCCATGCTGTTGACAACAAAATGTTTTTAACTATCGTGTGTTTTTATGTGCTGTTCAATAAAGATAAGGCGACATAACACATTTCATGACCCCAACATGCGTTAAAAAATGTGTTGCTGTAAATTATTTGGCTGAGTAAATCACTTATTTTTCTTTTTCACATTGTGAATTAAATTTTATATCTGTAAAATATTTTATCACATTTTAAAGCAAACGATTGACCAACAATCTTCTCACGATTTGCACGAGCAAAGCATTTGTGACAGTGTTGGCAATAAAGGGCTTATAACCAGTATATGGTACCATATCAGTGACATTTTAATGTATGTGACCTACTGAAGTAATCATTTGTTGCTTCAGAGTTTCTGACCACATTGAAATGTAACATACACATGTAGTGTAACATATTGTATATGTATATTGTGTGGGAGTATGTATTACCGGGCGTATATATTTCTGAAACAAACATGTAACTGCACTACGGGTGACTGCATGATTAAGACCGGATAATATAATTGATTATGACATATTGTCGTACGTTGATTTTGATCTAAAATGTAATGCGTTTATTTTTCAAAACTTTATGAATAAAATGCTTGTTATAATTATATTAACATAATTATGCTGTGACAATATTAACGTCCTAATGTGATACTGGGGAAACACATATACAGTTGTATCCAAATGTTATTGTTTTAATTGTCCAATTATGCATATATTTTACATAAGAAATATACCATGCAAGCATGTAGAAATCCACTTGTTTTTATGAAATAGTGATAGTTCGTATCATTGGCTATCATTTATATTCAAATTAGGATTAGAGGAAATCAAATTGGTTTCATACTTATACCAGAGACTGCAAATTGTGCATCTTTTCAAATCTGCCCTTTCTTCTCTTGTTATTAAGTTGATGCATTTAAAATAATCCCTTTTTTACACATTATTGACGGAATTACTTTGTTTCCTAACGTGAATTGGCGGATAGTTTCCTAATGTGGATTGAATGTCTTTTTTTCGAAACAAAGAGTTTGAAGGAATGTTTTTATTTGAAAACAATAACTTTTCGAAAAGCAATTGCAATAATGTATACAACATTCTTGAAAGTTGAATTCGTTTGATGAAATAATAAATCATGCCATAGTCCCTGTTCGTTTTCAGTGTAAGTTTATATGAACAAATATCCCATAGAAAAGAAAGCATACCATATATACGTCTCTGGAACAGCATTCATAAATACAAAATATCCACAAGTCAGTCATTCTGAATTCGATCATTAACCAAAATGACAATGCACCAAAGTACCATTATGTCTGAGCATTACAAAGATATGGCTCAAGAATGGTTAAATTGGATTGCAAGCAATTGTGTGCATTATGTAATTTAAAACGTTTCATTGTTACAGGAAATATAAATGCACCAACAGTTTCATGTCTGATACACTTTCTTTCATCAGATGAGTGTTGTAATTTGACTATATTTACCACACCAAATAATTATCTTTGATTAACAATAATGTATACACCCATTCGTGTAAACTATAACCAAATGAATGGTCGGAGCACGTACTTCTTCTTTGTTGGAATACTAATAAGCTGAAGCTGAACATATATAGCCGTCTCTAACAGTAAGTTGATGGTGGATTACATGAACCTTGGCTGGCGATGATCAAGTATATTTATATATACGCATATTTCTGCTAATTTTGGTGTATGGCAGTTGTTATTTGCATTCATTAGAATTTTATCAACACAGAAACGCTGCGCAGCTTGTAGTGCAGGGGTATCCCAAAATATGAGCGAAGAAGAACAAATTACACAATCGGCGAACAGCAACATGTTAACAGCATGTTAGATGTGGACCCTATGTGTCATTTTGCACATGGCTGTATGTAGGTGTTTTCTAATACAAATCTCTCTCTCTCTATATATATATATGGATGAGGCTTAAAATATAACAGTCAGAAATAGGGTTAAAAATGTTCATATTATTATTTGCATTCATTAGAATTTTATCGACACAGAAACGCTGCGCAGCTTGTAGTGCAGGGGTATCCCAAAATATGAGCGAAGAAGAACAAATTACACAATCGGCGAACAGCAACATGTTAACAGCATGTTAGATGTGGACCCTATGTGTCATTTTGCACATGGCTGTATGTAGGTGTTTTCTAATACAAATCTCTCTCTCTCTATATATATATATGGATGAGGCTTAAAATATAACAGTCAGAAATAGGGTTAAAAATGTTCATATTATTATTTGCATTCATTAGAATTTTATCGACACAGAAACGCTGCGCAGCTTGTAGTACAGGGGTATCCCAAAATATGAGCGAAGAAGAACAAATTACACAATTGTCGAACGGCAACATGTTAACAGCATGTTAGATGTGGACCCTATGTGTCATTTTGCACATGGCTGTATGTAGGTGTTTTCTAATACAAATCTCTCTCTCTCTCTCTCTCTATATATATATATGGATGAGGCTTAAAATGTAACAGTCAGAAATAGGGTTAAAAATGTTCATATTATTATTTGCATTCATTAGAATTTTATCGACACGGAAACGCTGCGCAGCTTGTAGTGCAGGGGTATCCCAAAATATGAGCGAAGAAGAACAAATTACACAATCGTCAAACAGCAACATGTTAACAGCATGTTAGATGTGGACCCTATGTGTCATTTTGCACATGGCTGTATGTAGGTGTTTTCTAATACAAATCTCTCTCTCTCTATATATATATATATATGGATGAGGCTTAAAATATAACAGTCAGAAATAGGGTTAAAAATGTTCATATTAAAAAATATATAACATCGGAATACATACATACGAAAAATGACTTGCATAATATACAATTAAAAACTGACATCTGTAAAATGGTACACATTGTTTTCTACAAAATTAAGTACAAAGAGTATTTAATATTGTTACCCGTATCTATGATATTTTGAGGCCATTTCCAGTTTGTATTTGAACATTCATGTGACTTGTAAATAAGAATTTTTAGTAATAAACATATTTTTGATTTAAATGTTTTAGAAAATAGCTAGAAACTCTTGAAAGACATATGGTATCTAACAAAACCAAAAAGAATAACTTATACTTCTATTGTAGATGTGCATTGATTTGTGGTACAGCAAACATTGTATATGATCTACTAGAAGAATATACACTAACAGCCTTTATTGTATAGTACATTTTTAAAATCATTATTATAAAAGACTCACCTCTGTTATATATGTAATGGAGTGTACTACTAATCAATCAAATACGAGTACAGTATACATAAACAAAAACTAAATTTCCTTTATATAAATATTGTTATTTGTGAATTTTGAAAGGCACAAGTCCGGATATTAGTTGCATTATGTTTTGACCAATGAATAATTGAGTTGAGTTGACTTTGAAGTTTCCACTTGTATTGTGATTTCAACTAGTTTATGTCTAAATGGTGTATCTTTAATGGTAGTGTCACATCACTGTATACTAATAAACAGAACAAGTGAGGGATTAGAATCTACTGAAATTTAGACGCAATTAAAACACAATTCACACATTTTTCAATTATGTTTAGATTTAAAAATCCTGATTTTTTAGATTATCCTAGCAACAATCATACTTCCTGTTTATTATTAAAAAATAATTAAAAAAATAATGTGGATAGCTTTGAATACTTTTAATTAAAGCGAGGAGTTGTCACCTGCGCATGCGACAGATGGCCATAGCGTGTCATTGTTTACAAACAAGAGTCTACCCATGAGCGTTTTTGTTCCCGCACATGCACAGGTGACAATCCTCTCGCTTTAAACTTAATCAAATAATTGTGTTTGAAAAACGCATCTTAATAAAACATGGTATGATTCATCAAAAAAAGTGGGTTTGGCATTACTGGTAAACATATTAGTATTTTCACTACACAATAATGAAAACATTAGTAGGTGTGTGCTTCAAATTAACTATTTAAGATGATACTAGGAAGGGAATGCACTCTACATACACAGTATTGCATGTTTCTGTTTTACGAAAAATCATACTATATTGAAGCTACTAAAATACAATCTCAAACATAATTATGTAACAGATCAGCTGTTAACGTTATTTTTCTTCATTCATCTTAGCTAACCATGCTCAAAAATATTCACATTGCAATAGTGCACAAAATGATAGGGATTAGGTGAGTTACGCTGTATTGATTCGTAAACTACCAAAGTCAACGCTCAGATGCACGTTCTCTTTATCTCGCAGCATTCGTAAGTAATTAAATGAGGCCTTTTGCGCTGAATTGAGACCAAGTTCTGTGTAGACCAGTTGAAGTCCCATATTATGAGCATTTTCAACTACAGCGCGAGATTCAGCATTGGCCTTGGCGATGATCAGTTCAGACATTGCTGTCGCATTTTGGTTGATCTCTGCAGCAATGTTATCAATCTCATTAACCTGAGAAAAAATGAGAAAATATTTATTTAGAACCATTTACGCATTCCACAGAGGAATGCTATTGGTTACAAAAACATATGAAATAAATAAAAATACAAAATGAAAAGAACAAAGCCATGAGTGGGTGAGTAGTTATTAGGATATGTATGTATGTGTGTGTAGTCTGTTTTTTTAGGAATTTAATTATTTGAATTGATTTTTTTGACAAACTTATGCCTGGAGTACATGTAGTTTTATAAACTCAACAAATCTGTAAATTTGCATCACTTAATTCCAATTAAATAATTTCTAGTTTTAATTATATGTGGACACTATTTTATTTATATTAACCTATTATCTTATAAATATGACTATGCTGTATATATTGTGTTTGGGGTCCTCTGTAGTTTTTTATTTTTCCTTTATTTTTTGACGCAGAGGACAAAATACATTACAGAAGACATGATTACCGATTGGCCTGTTTAAATGAAGTCTATTGACAGCTGTCTGATTTATTACGCAGCATCAAAATAATTCAGTGACTTGTTTTCAAAAACCAATTACTTTAGCTCTATTGTGTTCATTTGTATGTTACTTCAGATCTATTGCATTCCTTTGTATGTTAATTCAGATCTATGGTATTCCTTCGTATGTTAATTCAGCTCTATTGTATTCATTTTAATTTATGTTAATTTAGCTCTATTGTGTTCATTTGTATGTTAATTCAGATCTATTGTATTCATTTTAAATTATGTTAATTTAGCTCTATTGTGTTCATTGGTATGTTAATTCAGCTATTGTTCATCTAAAAATATACATGCAGGTTAGGTTATATAGTTCCTTAAATTTGATCATTAAGAGAGTGAATATGCATATGTGTGTATAATGTATTTCTAAAGCTTGAACATTATTGTCAGCATCCATGCTTGGAAACATTGTTACCTGTTTTTCAGTTTCCTTTCTCACAAGCTGAGCTTCCTGCAGATACCCCTCTTTTGTGGCATCCTCAAGCTGTGTCAATGCTAGGAGATTATTGGAAATGACATCATCGGTTATGGATACTTTGGCCAGCTGGAAATAGTACACATCAGCAAAGTATCCTTTGTCTTCAATGGTACAGGTATCATAGCGTTTGCAATCAGGAACGCATCCTGAAATTCAAGCAAACAAGTATATGTTACAAACAGTGATCTCCTCAGGAAATGGAATGTATTAATTTAGCACTATCACATTCATTGGTATGAAAATATGACGTTATTGTATTAATAATTATGTTAATTCAGCTGCTATATTTATTGTTATGTTAATTCAGCACTATTGCATCCATTTGTATGGCAATACAGCTCTACTGTATTCATTTGCAAGTTAATTCAGCTTTTTTGAATTCATTTTAAATCATGTTAATTCAGCTCTATTATATTCATTTGTAAGTTAATTCAGCTCTATTGTATTCATTTTAAATTATGTTAATTCAGCTCTATTGTATTCATTTGTATGTTGATTCAGCTCTATTGTATTCATTTTAAATTATGTTAATTCAGCGCTATTGTATTCATATTTATGTTAATTCAGCTCTACTGTATTCATTTGTAAGTTAATTCAACTCTATTGTATTCATTTAAATTATGTTAATCCAGCAAGTGTTTATACGATTTGCCGACTTTATTGGTTGGAGATCATAATGCTAGAACTGGTTTGTTAGACGATTTTTTAAATGCTGATCATTTTGGTGTTATAGCCATTGAAGAAAATGGTGATATCTGTAATACAAAATTTGACATGGAGTCACTAGGCTTATGTACTGATAGATACAGCTGTAATAAATCGACAAATAACAATGGGTATAAACTTGTTGAATTATGTAAAAGTTTAGATATCCATATTGTGAATGGACGTATTGGGTATTGACCTTGGATGTGGCAATTTAACCTGTGCTGATTCGAGTTTGGTAGATTATATACTTGCCTCACCTCAGTTGTTTATAAATGCTACTAATTTCTATGTTGATGTCTTTGATAAATTATTATCGGATAAGCACAGTCTTATATGCTTAACTTTGAAATCAAACTATGTATCCAATGCAACCCCAAT